CCACCAGCGCAACCGTGTTCGCGTCCCCCGCCCCCCCCCCCGCCCCCCCCCCAGGGGGCACCGTGCTCAGCGCCTTCACGAGCTTGATGCAGTCGCCGACGTCCCTAAGGTAGTGGGCGCTGCCCAGCCCGTACGCCTCCGGCTTGGCGAGCTTTGGCCCACGTAGGTCTGAATGTCTCACGCAGAAGCAGGCGCTGTCTTGGTCCCCCTGCAAGTGCTTTGGCTGGGATTCGCGTAGTCGGAGTTGGGGGTTGGGGGTTGGCGTTGAAACGGATTGGAATGGAATGGAATGGATATGCCCTGCCGAAACCAGGAAATAAATAGCTCCACCCCAATCTACATTTTGATATCATATTCCGTGTCTCGTTGAAAGACAGGATTGGATGGAGAAAACCGGCTCCGAGCGGATGAGAAACGGAAGGGGGTGGGTGGCAGGGTAGGAGAGGGTTGAGGAAGGGTGGATACCCTCGCCCGGAAGTAGTTGGAATGGAAAACACAAACCATGAAAATCGCCATCCCATCACCCCACCAGCGAGAGAAAAGTGCGGTGTTTCGAAACACGGGCGTTCCCCCCGTGGTACAAGTAGGACGTGGCGGCTGGGTTGGAGCGGAGTGACAAAGCAAAAAAAACGTACCACATGTCGGACAGGGGAATCGGAACCGGGGTTTCAAGCCAAACATGCTCCTGGGGTGGGGTTGGGATGGAGACAGCCCCTCGCTGCAGACGCGGGCGATAGACGAAAGCTGCGTTTGGACCGCGTCGGTTACACTCGAGATCAAATTTTTGCGTTCTGTACCGGTACGGTGAGAAACCCAATTCCACATGATACAAAAACTGGAACGCAACCTCGCGCAGACACAGCAGTGGCATAATAGGGTAAAACTCTTTGGTGGCAGCACCACACAACTTGCCCTCCCGGTGTTCGAACGGCTCTCGAAGACCACCACCCCCGACCATGAACCAACGATAAGACGAGCACGACACACGTACCGCAGAGCCGGTGGCTACAAGCAGGGAGCCGTACGTGACCGTTAGCTGCTTCGCCTTTGCCCTAGTGCGTGCCCGGTCCGAGTACTGTGCGTGGGGATGGCAGAGCGGACGAGGGAGAGGGACAAGAAGCAAAGCGACAGGTGCAGAAGGTAAGTGAGAGCAAGGCGGAGAGAAGAAAATGTACTCTAATATACCATATACATCAAGCGAGAGAGGGAGAGCGCGCGAGAGAGGGACACAGGGAGACAGAGATCCAGGACAACGTAGATTTTCGGCTCCTAAGGCAACGGAAGTATCAAGATTCGTGGCAGCGGCGGCGGCGGCGGCGGCGGCGGCGGCGGCAGGGGAACCGAGGAGCTATTAATAGCTCTTCACCTGGTACAGCCGGAGCGTCGCGTTCGCCACGTCCACCTCGTAGCACTCGCAAGACGACAGGACCGTAACCCCGTTATCCCGGTACCATCGAGCGTTCCTGCGGCCGTCACGAACACGCATACCCGAAGCACAGGGCACCCCCAACAAGATTCGGGATCCAGAACCAGTGCTTGCCTTCGTTTACTAACGCGAGAAGAGTGCTGCACTCTCTTCCCTCAAAGTGTACACACTAACTATTAGTAGCGCTTTCGACTGCCATTGTTGAATAGTCATTGCATCAACAGGAGGGGGTGAGGGGAACACACACACACCTTCTGTCTCGGTCGTTCCCCGTGCTCGTGAAAGGGAAGACCTTGTTTCCCCAAGCCTGGTATAAGTCGTGGTCCACACAAAACAACGCAGGGACAGAGTGCGAGGGAAGGAGTTGGCACTTCAAACGAGGCTAACTACTTGCCGCGGTGCAGTCATGTCAACCTCTCAAAGAGTCATCATCGAGTTGTGAAAGCACTAGGAACTGTCAGTCAACAAGACTCAAGAGTGATGGCCAAATTGTGAAGGCACAATATAATAGCACCAGTCAGTCAGTCATGTCAAGACTCATCGAGCTGTGAAAGCACCATCACTAGCACCTGCCAGTCACGTCAAACCTCTCAAAAGAGTCGTCATCGAGTTGCGAAAGTACTACATAAACGCACCTGCCAGTCTCTGGAATGATTGTTCTCGGGCCGGAGGCACTCCTTGGACATCTCCGACCGCTCGTACGGGACAAGGCCATCGGGGTACCCCGTCACGATGCACAGCTTCGGCCGATTGAAGCCTGGTTGCTCGGCCCCCGACTTGAGCAGCGAAACCACCTCTTCCGCCCAGTAGCCTGACCGTTCGGCCGAACAAGGAACGGGGCTTTTTAGCGTTGTAGGTGCAGCTGTGACACGGCGGGTTGAGAGTGAACGGTGCCGTCGGTATGTATGCGACCATGATTTAGGTGGAGGTCGGAGAGGTGTTTTCAGTGCTCGCCAAGGGGGGCAAGAAGAAGTTGAGTACCCAAGCGCGCCAGCGCTGCCGGCAGCACCGGGGCCATCCTCGCCCCCGCCCCTGCCCCCACAACTGCCTCCACCATCGACAATACTACGAGATACACGCAGAAGGGGAGGTCTTGTTTGCAGCAGCACCATCCTTTGAGTAAAAACGCTTGACTACCTCAAACACAACCCTTGAGAGTGTTGCACGGGTAGCGCACGCATAGCCATAGGCGTGGTCAACCCCCCTCGTCTGATTCAAACCCATCCAACAACAGCGGCAAGCACGCCCCAGTCGCCGTGGTATTGTGGGAATGCGAGGTCTATGGCGTACCGACCACGGCATGTGGTTATGTGAGAAACAATCTGTGTCGTACTCCGTGTGATTCATGACCCGAAACGATAGCTTCAGCGCTTCGGGCTCAGCGTGATAAAACCCCCGCATTTTTGTGAATGTGAAGTTCGGCGAGGGGTGCGAATTGTAATTTCAGGCACGTCTGCCTGCCGAAGTATTCCGGTGACAAGATTTTAAGTAGAGTCGAGGAGTACATTGGGGAGGCTGCATGAATATAAGGCCGCACGAACAACGCCGGTCGCCATGTAGGATATAAGGCAGGTGAAATCGGTTGACAAACATGGAATATCGATATTCAAGTTGTCTGATGCTCTGACTTGTGCCGGGTACCCGATTAAAGGTCGGTAAAATCCTAGGCCGTAGGCGGCCTTTGAGCGGGCCCCCTTGCACTTGTATGTGAGAATACCGTCGTGCGCAAAGCCCGTTGTACATTTTAGTTGTGCCGACGGCGGACTAAGCCTCTGATCGTGAATGGCATGAATGTTCTACATGACATGTCACCTGGCTTGAACAGCTGCGTTTGTTCGAGCTATGCATGTGTATGTTTTCCTTTGCAGGACAAGTAGTCGCGCGGGGTCTCACCAAAGCAGTTACGATCAACTTATCGCCAAATAGATCGACGGCTGGGGACCAAAACTAGATGTGATCGTTTGCGGCCTGCCACAGGCTGCAGGTGATGTTTACAGCAGCACGTTCTAAACTTCTGCACACGACACGAGCCCCGGAAGCCATTACGATGGCTAGCACTAGATCCTTGCCACTCTATCTCGCTCGTCCCGCAAGCAGCCTGACCGCCCCTACACGCCCCTGGCCTTAGCACGCTCTCAGCCTGGGGTAACGGTCCGATCATTGCGCTGGTACGCCTATTGCATATTCACGATGCAGTAAGTTACGTTCGCACATACACCCGTTATTCATGAGTTTCATGCGCGGGGCGAAGCAAACATGAACACACCTACACAGGCGCAACCGCTAGGTTGGCCCTGCTGTTGCCAACAGCAACTAAAGCCCTTGTTGCACCGAGAGCGGGCAGCTTGTCGGATCGAATCATTTGAAAAGAGAGGGCAAAATAGAGCACTTTCTCTCGGTCCAGGCATGATATCGGGCTTGTCATGGGACACCACGAAGGCAGAAACTCGCAAACTCACCTGCGGACACGCCTCCCCCTAGGCATACCATGTCGAACACCTGTTCGGAAGTCATCTCACACTGCAGCTGCCCGCGTATTGATGGTGTGAGCTATGCAGCAGCCCGCGTTACGCCTGGGGGCACAAACAACCGGCTCATTATATAATAAAGGGGGTTGACTCTGATGTCAAATATAGGCCGTAGGGACCCCCTTACCGCGGTGGCCGGGTGCGGCAGAGACGCAGCAGGGGAAGAGGGATTGCCAGAGAGCGAGGGAAGCAAAGGGAAAATAGTCTACCGTACGAAGGTGAGGGTTGGAAGGTGGCCTTTCTTTGAAGTGGGCGTTCTCCCTCTCGGAGTGGTACCCCTGCCGACAGAGTGGGCAAGTCAAATTCAAACCGTCAATTCAAACACGTATCATCGCTGCGTATGTACATGCAACATCCTTGCGGTAGCGTACATCTCCCTGCCTTGATGTCTAACAAGGCGGTGTTCGTGCAACCGTAGGCGATGCTCTCGTAAGGACGTGGCGTTGCTCGCCAAGAATATCGAGACCATGTGTCGAAAACAAATACCTACGTTGGCCGTAACTTGAGCAGAGACTGCGAATTCGCCGCATATATCCTGCATACGCTCGCATCGCAGGAGAATCGGCAGCAGATACACATCTACAGGCAGCGATATTGCACCCCATCCTACTGTATGCAAGACCGCGCGACAGTAGTGCAGTGTTCTATGTAAAAGAAAACATTTTGTGTTGTTGATGGTACGCAATGTCAGGGTCATGTTGTCAGAGTCAGAGGAGCCAGCACGTTGGCTATACCCTAGCCAAGACTGAGAGACTGAGACTGAGAGAGAGAGAGGGAGAGAGAGAGAGAGAGAGAGAGAGAGAGAGAGAACCGCAGAGAGAAAGCAAACAGCGAACTCGTCTTTCCACGAACATTAACTTTGTGGCATATCCCGCTGGGATGGGCCCTCGGTTTTCCCCAAACGGCCAGCCAACCTTGCATTTCTATGCATAGGTGTAGGCGAGAAGTATGGAAAACTATCCTACTCTTCGGCCACACTAAACAGAACCCGATGTACCCTGTCCGACATTATTGCACTGAAACTCTCTCGCAAATGCAGCTCGCTCGATTCCCACTGTCCGGCGCAAGGCGGTCTCATGTGCGCTAGATAGGCTACGATTGGTGCCGTGTGGGTCCTTTGGGGAAGACGACAAAGGGCAATGCGAGGGGCGGGTAGCGGTGGGGGGGGGGG